GAGAGAAAACCTTTCAGCAACTGGGTGAATAGGTTTACTATTTCTTACAACCTCTTTCCTAAGAGTAGCATTTAGTCAATGGTGGTGTTGTTTGAATTGTTATAATGTCTAATACCCAGGGACTGAGACACAGGAAAATGTCTCTAGGGCCCAATGGGCTGGTCATCTTTCCTCTGCCTGTGCTGCAGGGCAGTGGTAGGATTCTGATTTATCCTCAGGCACTGGCCTGGGATGGTGAGGACAAAAAAAGACCAAGAAAGAATTTCCTGATGTTTATGCTTGGCTTCCTAGGCCCAGGAAAAATTGTTTCTAGACTGTTTTGGTCTTGTTTTTTTACCTTTTGTTTAGTACTTGGGGGCGGTAATGTGGGAGAGTGAATCAAGCCTCATGGATGCTGGGCAAACACTCCACCACAGAGCTGTATCCCTAGCCAGTTTTTTTAATTTTAAAAAAGGTTTTGAGATAGAATCCTTTCTGCTTTTCAGATAGTGCATATTGGCATGGAAGAGTCTCAAAGAGACATGCTCTGTAGAGGTTCCTGTTGCTGTAGCAGAATGCCAGAGACAACTCAAAGAGAAAAGAATGATTTTAACTCATTTTGGAGGCTATAATCTGTGCTTGGTTTATCCCATTGCTTTGGGTGTGTAGTGGGGAAGCAGACCATGCAAGGAGTGTGTGGTAGAAGAAGATGCTCACTTTTAACAATATCTCTCAATTCTCTTCAAGGTCACACAATGACCAAAGAATTTCCCACAAGACTTCAGCTCCCAAGTCCCACCCTGAGGATCAAGCCTTTAGCACATAGGCCTTTAGTTAAATATTGAAACTCTCGGGGCTCATCCTGCCAACATGCAGATGATGCTAGTGTTTAGGTAGAAGTCAGATGGCCTTGCAGCTGGACTCCTTTTCTGTGGATGTTACTCCTTCCCTGGTCAGGCTCCCTTCGCTAAGATTAAATAGCAAGATTTAAAGGAATGAATTGTTTGTTCCCTTAAATTGTTTGGTGTCTAGTAAGGGCTTCGTGCTTAGGTCTCTCCTCTTGACCAGTGATTCTGAGCAGTCTTACTGGCATGTCCCATGGACCACCTGAGAAAGCCTGGCCCTGTAGTGACAAGGAATGAATTCACCCCAGTGGAGTGAATCAGGACATGAGATCTAGATTTTGCACCGAGTCTGTGGTTGTGACCTTCACCTTGTAGCTCAGAACCTCTCTCCACTTTGAAATACGAATCTATTTAGGGTTAGTGGATGAGGAGGTCCTTCGGACTTGGGGAGGCTCTGCTAAAGAGACAAAGCCGCACCTTCTCCAAGCATCCCAAACCTTTGAAGTGTTGATGTGATCAAGGTCAGACACCACATAGGCAGAAGGTACACAAGACTTAGGTAGGAGAGTGAGGGGACAAGTGGAATTCGGCTTATTCTATGTTAAAACTTAAAAAGAGAGAATAAAATTTTCAAAACCTAGGCAGGAAAATCTGAGTATTCTAGAAAAAAAAAAAGGTTCTGTTAATATGCCAGGAGTTTAAAGCATTCCCAGAGCACTGGGGAGCAAAATCTGCCTCTTATGCATTCAGATTCTAGTCACACAAACACCTTCTGAAACATGGCATCCAGACTGAATATAAAGAAACAGACCAGAATATAAAGATCTCAGAATGCCTCTTTTTTTTGGGAAGAACCAAGAACAATGAGTGTCAGTACAAGATGGAAGCACTCTTTAAAGACATAAGCAAAGGACAACTTCATTGTTAAAAATAGCGAAAACAGTATAAAGGGCTGGGGAGAATGACCCCGCAGATACAGCACCAGACAGCAGCGGCAGTGCGAGCATCGGAGTTCGGATCCCCAGAAACCCACTTACAGGCTGAGCTGGTGTGGGAGCCTGTCTGTCATTCCAGCATCAGAAGGGGGAGACAGGGGACTCCAAGAGCAACCTGATCAGCAAGGCTAGGTGTACCAGTGAGCTCTGGGTTTGATGTGGAGACCCTGCCTCATTCAATAAAATAGAAGAGACACTGAGGATGATTCCTGACACCAACTTTGGGCTTCCATGTGTACATGTGCACATATGTTCAACGTACACCCCCCCACACACATGCAAAATGCACACACACATACATGCATTCCACACATATACATGGTGAAAAATGGGAAAAAGAAACAAAACGGAATGGTGGTATAGCAGCACCTCCCAATTTGAAAAAACAAAACAAACTGTGGGAACAGTTGAGCTGATGTGTCTGTCGTGCAGTTGTGTTTCGCTGAGATTTACAATAAAAGGCTCAAAAGCAAAATCAGCAAAAGGAAGAAATGCCCGTGGGACACCCAGACGAAGTGAGCATGCATTTCTGATTCGTCTCCCTGGGGGAATCATTGGGGGCATGCTTAACTTCCCAGCCCCACACGGGGAAGACACATGGTGTGACACATGGCTTGTGAAGGAGTGCATTAGGGACGTCATGCCCAGGGGTTTTATTGGGATCTAAGCACTCATTCCCAAGCACAGATCAAGATTATAGACTCCCAGAAGGATGGCAGATGCCAAGAAGAACCCCTTCTGTTAAACACTTGAGGTACAGGGAGCCACTCCTGTTATGTAGGGCTGTGTGAACAATTGTGAAATTCCCAGAGACCATTGAAGACTGACTTTTTTTTTAAAGTATTGTAAGGATTGATTTATTTATTGTGTTTCTATGTATATGTGTATCTTCTACCTTATTCACACATGTAAGAGTGTATGCGTTTATGTGTACCATATGTGTGCAGGAGTCCAGAAGAGGGTGTCAGATTCCTGGAACTAGAGTTGTAGGTTGTGAGCTGCCTGACATGGGTGCTGGGGATCCGATCTGGGTCCTCTGGAAGAGCAACGAGTGCCCTTAACTGTTGTCTTAGTCAGGGTTACTGTTGCTATAATGAAACAACATGACCAAAAGCAAGTTGGGGAGGAGAGTGTTTGGCTTATACTTTCACATCTCCCCTTCACTCTTCATCATCGAAGGCAGTCAGGGCAGGAACTCACACAGGGCAGGAACCTGGAGGCAGGAGCTGATGCAGAGCCATGGACGGGTGCTGCTTACTGGCTTGTTCCCCATGGCTTGCTCAGCCTGCTTTCTTACAGAACCCAGGACCATGCGCCCAAGGGTGGCTCCAACCCAAATGAACTGGGCCCTCCCCCATCAATCACTTGTTATGAAAATGCCCTGCAGACTTGCCCACAACCCAATCTTACAGAGGCATTTTCTCAGTTGAGGTCCCCTCCTCTCAGGTGACTTTAGCTTGGGTCAAGTTGACACAAAATTAGCCAGCACAACTGCTGAGCCGTCCCTCCAGGCCGTAAAGATGGGCTTTGTAAGCAAGCCTTTCTAAAGACCCAGTGTGTCCCCCTTTCCTGTGTAGCTGGCTAGTGACATGTCTGCCAGGAAGATAAACTTAGCAGGAATGCTGAGTCTAGGGGACTTGTGTTCAGCTCGCGTCTCCTGAGGAGACAGACTCAGAGCTGTCTTAGGAAGAAATGTGATTAAATTTGGATGGCAGCAGCCCAGCCCTCCTCCATAAGAATGCCAGGTCTGTGATCTCTGTGTCTAGTCCTGCTCTCCTAACCATGATTGTGATTTGAACACAATTGAGCAACATAGGAGAGCTTGGCTGACATTTTAGAATCACATGATACATTTTCCAGGGTGTGGGATGGGGGGATAGCTCAGCGGTTAAAGCACTGGCTGTACAGGGTTTCAGACCCCCAGAACCCATGCAAATGGGAACTGAGTGTGGTAACCCATCTGTAATTCTAGTCTCAGGAGGTAGAGACAGGGTTCCCCAGAGTGAGCTGGCTATGAAGACTAGCCATATCGCTGAGCTCTGGATTGAATGGAGAGACCATACCTCAAAGCAAAAGGTAGAAGAATAACAGGCGGGTTCTTCACATCAGCCTTGGGCTTTCATTAGCACACATATCAGCACACACGAATCCATGCACATGGACACATGCAGAGCACATGCACACATATCACCACACACAAACCCATACACACAGACACATGCAGAACACATGCACACATATCAGCACACACGAATCCATGCACATGGACACATGCAGAGCACATGCACACATATCACCACACACAAACCCATGCACACAGACACATGCATGCCATATGCACACATGTCAGCACACACAAAAACCATGTACACAGAGACATGCATGCCATATGCACACATGTAAAAAATAGAAAAAAGTCCTCCTGGGATAACATTTGCAAATGATTTGGCTCAGAAGCGAAAGACAGCGCTCTTATGGGACTCTCAGAACATAGAGATACCCCATAGCTGCACAGCAATGTGCACATAAGGCTTGTCTTCCTTTGTGTGTGTTAGTGTTACACGCTCAGATGTTGTTGCTGGGTTTGTTCCTGTGAAGACTCTGAATGTGGTACATCGGGTATGCAGTCAGACCCGAATCTCTCTAAACTCCATACTTCTGGCCTCGTAAACAGCTAAATGAGATTTATTCCTGTCTGGAGAAATTAACAAATTGAATCTGAAGTGAGACTGGAAATAGCAATGCCTAAAATCCGATGCTACAGATGAAAAAGCCCTTATTAGGCCACTTGGTCTACAGCTGGATTTTTCTCAGCACAGCTTCCTGTGTTCAAACATGGCCAGCCTCCGGTTTCAGCGACTGCAGAGGCTCTGCTTCCATCTGTCACTAGAGAGTGCCACCCCTCTAGGGGCTGTTTCAGATAGCTGATAAGGAGGGTACCTCAAAATCAGGAGGAAGGATTAGTAGGGGAAGGCCTGGTGCCAGGGCCTCCGGGGAAAGAATGCTGGAGACCCATCAGAGAGGGAGGTGTGGTAGATGTGAACACGGGGCACCAGCTGAGTAAAGCTCTCAGTGCTGAGGACCAGGCAGGAAGGATGCTAATGGAGAAAGTGATGAAATAGTTTATACCAGTGGTTCTCAACCTGTGGGTCGTGATCCCTTGTGTGTGGGGGGTTGCATATCAGATATTTACATTACAATTCACAACAGTAGCAAAATTACAGTTGTGAAGTAGCAATTAAATAGTTTTATGGTTGGGGTCACCACAACATGAGGAATTGTATTAAAGGCACGGCATTAAGAAGGTTCAGAACCACTAGTTTATACCCTTCATAGATTATTGTTGAACAGGTTTAATGGGAAAATCTAAATGTGAATTTACAAATAACAATGGACACCCACCTGTCTACCTTTCACATTGGCGCATAATAAAAATACAATTTTATTCGCTTGAGTGTATCCCCAGAGTCTAAGTACTGATGTTAATCCCAAAGATGTGAGGAGAAAAAACACTGGCCCAAACCACCATGACCAAATTAATTAAAGCAGGCTTTTTTATTCATGTACACAGGCTGCCTCCCACTTCCCTCTCATAAGATGTCCTCTTGAGTATTCCAGTCACGTCTATGCAAAAGTAGCTAGTTTCCCTCCAAACCTGGTGTGGTTGGGTTTATGCTCACTCCCATCTTTCAGCCTGCTCAGTATGTGTTTTTAATGAAAAATATATGTCCTGGGAACCAGACTCACGCCCTCTGAAAGAGCTGTATGAGTTGTTAACTGCCAAGCCATCTCTCCGGCTCCTGGGTATTATTTTGAAAAGTCATTGGAAAAATAAGAGGTGATAATCCATCTAGCAAATGAAGGTAAACAAAACCACAACAGGAAGGGGCATTGAGATTATTGAGATTATCAAAATGAACCTGTTGGAGATGAAATTATTAAAGAAGATCTGAAATAGTCCATGAGATTTTGGAAGACAAAATGAGTGTTAGAGTTCCAGAAAGTAGAATTAAGACAATCAGAAAGGATGGGGTCAGTTAAGAAAATCAGGGGGCTAGACTCAAAGACTCAACTTTTTAGAAGGAGCATAATGAGAGGAAGGTGAAGGAAATGATCCCAGAAACAATTCAAGAACATTTTCTAGAATGGACATGTATGAAGTTTCCAGGTTGATAAGTCCCCTGAGTGCCCAAAGCAATATTCAAACAGAACCCACTGCAATGTACAGTGATGGACGTTTCAGAATACTGGGAGGAAAGAACTGGTTCCTGGCCTCCTGCAGGGAGGAGCTAGGCTACATGATAAGGGGAGGAGCTAGAGGGCTTTTAGCTTCTCAACAGCAGCAGTGAATGCTGGAGGAATGCCCTCTCCCCTCCACTACGCCCAACTGTGACTCTCTAGCCACCATGGCAGGCAGGCAGGCAGCACATGTTTACCTTCCAATGACACGTCCGCTCTCTGGGATTCGGGGAGAGAAATGGGAGAACACACCCACAAGCAAGGCAGGGGGAACAGGCTCCAGGGTGCCAGAAGTTCAAGGCCGGCCGGAGGTGGAGGGTCTCCGTGGGTAACAAGGAACAGGTCTTAGGCTATCTGTTCTGCTGCAGACCTCGATGGAACAGGGTTGGGGGAGGGGACTGAGAGGAAAGTCTGCAAGAAAATCAGCCTCCTGGAAAAACCGATGTGTTTGAATGACTGGATACCAGGTTTAGCTTGTTGGTAGAAAATTTGGGAATAAATCGGTAATGAGAGTTTAACAGGGGTGTTAGCGTCCTGTGGGTGTGATGACAAGTCACATGACTGAAAACAATGTACCTTCTTATATTTCCAAAGGTCAGAAGTCTGAAGTAAGTTTTATTGATAACCGGCAGAGTTTTTGTTTGTTTGTTTATTTTTTGTTTTTGTTTTTGGCAGGGCCCCACCCCCTCCCAAGGCTCTAGAAGACAATCTCTTTCCTTCCCTGTTCTGTCGTCTATGGCACAGTCCTTGTGGTCTTTGGCTCGAGGAATCTTCTCCAGCTCCTGGTCTCCAGCTGAATCCATGAAGCTTCATGTTTTCTATAACAGAATTTGCCTCTTGTAAGAGAAATAGGGATAGCATTTCTGGTTTGCCTGGATGGTAAGGGACACTCTCTCTGCTTTGGTCCTAATGTGGCTCCCTCCCCAAATTCACACAATAAAACTGAATCATTAATGTGATGGGATGAAAAGATGGAACCCTTGGGAACTGAATATATGATTCGGGAACAAGTCCTATGGAATGGGCTTCATGACCTTTGCCTTTTTGCCAAATGAGAACACAGCATTCACACCTTCCAGAGGAAACAGCAGTCAAGGCACCATTTTGAATTAGAAGCTGGCCTCACTAATAATTGAACCCACCATGCCTTGACTGTGGACTTGCCAGTCTTCATAACCATGAATAATGCTTTTGTGTGTGTGTGTGTGTGTGTGTGTGTGTGTGTGTGTGTGTGTGCTTGCTCTTTATGGATTACTCCGTATGAAGCATTTTTCTGTAACAACAGGAATGGACTCAAGCACTATGTAGTGTGTGTGTGTGTGTGTGTGTGTGTGTGTGTGTGTGTGTGTTTGTGTGTGTGTGTGTTGGGTGTGTGTGTGTGTGTGTGTAGGCCAGGGGATAATATCTAGTGATGTCCACGTTTTTTCTTGAACACCACCCATTTTAACACCTATAGTTTATTTATCACACTGCCAAGGATTTTTGCCATGAAAGAGTCTGTTAGTTTCCAGGCATAAAGCCTAGTCATGTTTTAGAGCTGTCCTTAAACCTATTATAAATATTAAATTTCATAAATTAAATATTATGAGGTTAGAAAGGAAGCAGTGCTTTTTAAGATTATTTACCTTAAAGATTTATTCGCATTTACGTGTATCGTGTGCATGTCTGGTCCCAGTGAAGGCCAGAAAGGGAGTTGAATTTCCTAGAACTGGAACTGTAGAAGGTTGTAAGCTACCATGAGGGTGCCGGGAACTGAACCTGGATCCTATGTAAGCGCAGCAAGGGCTCTTAACTTCTAAGTCATCTCTCCAGCCACTAGTGGAGAAATTCTTAAAAGGAAAACAGAAGAAAGAAACTGCAGCTGTGGAATGCTGTGGCTTGCTAGGAATATTTCTGTGACTCAGGCATATAAAACCTAATCATGAGCCCAGTGCTGTGTGTTTGGGGGATTGAGAACACAATAAGAGACATGGCAAGGAGGAGGTATATATTCTCCAAGGAAAGTCTGGCTGTGTGGGAGCTTGGAGGCAGGGAGGGAGGGGCAGATCTTTCTATTCTTTCATGCTTGTCTTAACTATTTTACTTTTTAAATAGACAAGAGGGCCTGAATGACTGGTTAACACTTCAGTACTTAAAACCTCATAAAAATTTTTCTCTTTTCTTTCCAGCAGTCTCATAAATTCTAGGAAGGCCTATATGAACACTTTCCAATGTTAATATTTAGTTACAAAACACAGCCCACGCGAGGTCACGTATCAGATGTGATCTGTTCTACAATCAATGCTAAAAGTTCTGTTTGCCGCAGACTCTTTTAAGTAAGACTTGGTGTTTGGGGATGTGTAAAGACACTTGTCCTATTATCCTGGGGGAAAAGGAAGCCTAGAGCAAATTTCATGGAGCTCAGTTCACTTCTAACTGCCTGATCTGATGGTGTGTGAACTCATGGCGTGTGACATTAAAGTATGGCGAGCAGACTAAGGGACACTGGAAGTCAGCCTGAGTGTAGCCCATAAGTCAACAGGGTGGCTGCTGCATTTTGTTCCTTTTTCTGTACACATGCTTATTCTCTGACTGCTTTTGAGATTTCTCTTTGGTACGTGTATTCAGAAATTTGATTATTAATGTGCTTTGGTGTTTGTTGTCGCTTTGAGATAGGATCTCTGTATTAGTGTTCTCTAGGGGAACAAGACCCACAGAATGAGCATGTATTTACCAAAGGACACAATAGAGTGGCTTATATCACATGGGCTGGTAGTCTAACGATCACTGTCTACACTGGAGGGGCTGAGAACCCAGTAGCTACTCAATTCATAAGGCTGCATGCCACATCAGTCACAACCTGGCATGGAAGGCTAAAGAAGCTGGGTTCTGATGATGGTGAAGGTAAGCCAGGCTGGCTGTAGTATAGATGCACTCACCAGCAAGAGGTGAAGGCACACAGGCACACAGCACTGCTTTTCCCTTGGGTGTTTTGTATGTAGCTACTCCCTCTCAGGAGGTGCTACCCATGGCTGAGCATGTTGTTCCTCTCAGCTAATCCTCCCTGCAAATTTCCTCACAGACCCCACATCCTACAAAGGTGTGTCTCTGCGTTGATTCCAGATCCAATCAAGTTGACAGTCAAGATGAATCATCCCTCCCTCCATCACCAACATGTCACTACCTGGAGCCTACCGGAGTGCAGGGATCTGAGAACCCCACCTTCCAACTCAGGACAGCTCTGCCAGCAATCCATTCCATAAATGAGTGCCCCTCTCAGCCTTGGCCAGAAAAGCCTCTTTCTGCAATGAGCAGTGGTTAGTGTAGAAAACTCTTAACTGGTCACACTGCTGAGAATAAGTGACTGTTGACATATTTATTAGTTTCATTGCCCACACGACTCAGGGGCATGACGGAAGAGGTGGAGAAAGCAGAAGGGTCAGGGGAATGGGGGGCAGACTGTGAAATGCTGTCTCTGGACATGGCATGGCTGTTGTGCTCATGAATGCACAGCGGCTGTATTTACCTGCACAAGATCAAGCCGTTCACATTTTCTGCACGGACGGAGGAAGGGCTCTTGAGGCCCCACCTCCAGCTGAGGAGCTCTTGGCAATTAATGGCTGCTGGAAAGAAAAGATAGTGCTTTTTTTTTTTTTTTCAGGGATTCAGCCCCAATTAGTTTTCCCATGCTCCAGTGTTACCCTCATGTTCATGTGGGCAGCACTAATTGGACTCCATGAGTTATTTGTAAAAATCAAAAGGGACATAAATGTGGGAGGGAGACATGTTGGGGTCAGGGTCTTGGAGAGGGAGAAGAGCAGGGGGAGGAGGTGAATATAGTCAAGACACACTATATACATGTATGAAAGTGTCAAAAATGAAGATACTAACAAAAAGATTGTCAATCAGTCTCACTATCTATTGTAGATTAAACCATTGATCTTCCAGCTTCTGCCTCTCCACTGCTGAGATTAAAGGCAGCCTCCACCATGCCTGCTGTTATCTTTAATGTTTATTCTGGCTAGGGTTATTGAGCTTCATGGATTTGTGGGGATATTGGTTGTGGCCAACATACCCAAAACAACTTAAAGAAGGAGA